TCCAATCCAACATGCATTCAACATAAAAAGAAGGGAAAGATTGCCCAAATAAGACATTGTGCATCGTGTGGTTACACAGCATGGACTGGGGTACATTAGTATGTGAATCAGAGCAAAATCAGATAAACCAGCTCAGGTTCACCAAAAAAGCAACACTCAGAGAAACCATGAAGAAGAAAAATATTGCTTGCTTCCATCATGCTATTCTCTGTCTCATTATGAAACTGCATGCAGGAAGACAGCATTTAGCAGCTAAGCTGCTTGCAACCAGAGCGTAGTGCTGCATCGGCAATCTTAGCACTGGAACCTGTACAGAAATCCCATTTTTTATGAAGACGGGAAATTTAAAAACCATTTAGACTGCTTGCTAGATAGGGGGGTTAAAGCTGACATATAAGCATTTTAAGTGTTATTGGGATGCACTCCTTATGTATGTTTGTGGGGGAGACTCCACTTAGGAGAACCTCAAACTGGAGACTGAAGTCTTGCTCTCAGCTTTAAGCTGGAGCTTCATTTGTTCCTAGATGAAGAGGAGGGAAGGATGATTCGGGGCAGTTGGGCTCAGCATTGGCTGTCCTATCAGCCAGGTGGCTCTCAAACAGCCTTCTGCAGCCCCCCACACATGGGGCTAGCAGCACCACCAGAAGGAAGGGGGTACACCTGAGGTCTCCAGGTTTCAATAGGGTCTGCAGCTCATGTTTAAAAGAAGAAGAAGAGGATGCGGGTATCCTGGTGACTCAGGAGCTCTCTTCCAGCAAAGACCCATCCTCCCACCCCATGCTTTTGAATTTTATTTCTGTGTGGCTCCCCATCCTTTGATATGTCTGCAGGGGGTCACTGGTTAACAGAGACAGGAAGAAATTTTACCCAAGGCTCTGACTGGCTAATAGGTCTTGGGTTTTTCTCCTTCCTCAAAGCAGAGTATATATAAGGTTTTTCTCCTTGCTCATAGCAAAGAGTGCTCTGCTATGGTGCCTGGGCCCAGAACGGCTCCTAGAGTGCTCTGCCATGATGCCCAGGCCAGGAGTGGCTCCCAAAGTGCTCTGCTATGGTGTCCGGGCCCAGAGCCCCTCCTGGCATCCATGTCCAGGCAAGGAGCTGCTCCCGACATCCAGTGCCACCTGTCCTGTCTTGTCCTATCCTGACATCTGTCGCGGCCAGCTAAAGTGGTTCCTTGCACCGCCACCAGCTGAACCAGGAAGTACATTCTCTGCTTTACTATTCAGAGGATTTAACACCTCCCCCCCCCCCAATATTTTTAATCAGATTTTTCTGCAACCCTGGGGAGTGTCCTAAGTTTGAAGAAGGATCTGTTCAGCCTCTGTATGCCCCCAATCCATGGGTTTAGCTATCCACAGATGGTGACCATGGGTGGCTAATAGTATATGCTTGGTTGCACTGTTAATAAGCATGTAACCATTACAACTTCCTGCTGGTGTTTAGGCATTGGCTGCGGAACATACTACAGGTTGTGCAGGGTAGGCTTCCTGTGTGACCATAAAGGGGAGTCCCCTTAAGGGGCTTGTGGGTGGGGTGAACATCACCCAACCCTAGGACTGACACATTGATTGTGTCTCCCCAAGAGGATAGTGATGAGTAAGAATAGTGATTTCTACCACTTACAGCCCTAATACCTCTTGCCTTGGTAATCCCATTAGTGAGTTTGGGAAAATGCTGACCTCAGCAGGGTTCTGAACCACACCCATTGTTCCTAACCTGTGTTGTGCCAAGACCTGAGAAAGATGTAATCAGGAAACGTTGTGGCCTAATTTTCTACAGCATAGTGTGTCTAAGTCATCCTTCCCCTTTCCCATTCCAGGCACAACGAGAGAACTCACTTATATTCCCAAACATGTATGTGTAGATATATGAAGCACAGGGTAACTACTTCGGCATTACATTGAAGCAACAGATGAAACCATGTCCCTCTATCTGTCCCACTCAAACCTGGGTTCAATTGGCATTACTATACTAGGAAGTCTGGCTATTTAAATCAGACCAAAATTGTTGTGCAGATTATCTCAATGCATCCTAATAAATACATCTGAATCTTCAAAAACAACTTCAGTTCCCTGCTCTTGTTGCTTGGTGGGTGACATACTGCACACCAAGGTTAACTCCTTATCCAGTTCACAGGAAAGAAAAAGGAAGGACTTGGTCCAACCCAGTTTCAAGTGGATGGGGTTTCTTCATCTTACCTACTGGCTTGGTACCTGGGAATCTCCAGCATCTGTACTTCATTGTGTACGAAATCCAATGACTCGTTTGTCACAGTGTTCCATGCGGTGAGACAAGTTATGGATGCACCTTCAGCCATGGTATTTACAGGATGAAAGGAGATGCTCCTGCCTTTCCCAGGCTTTGATCTCTCACCTTGAATACTGCTGACATGATGCTCATTAAGGTCTCTGTTCCTTAGCCATTACTGGTGTTAACTAGTTTAGCAATATGAGGGTGATTGCCAATTACTGCTATTGTGACTGGTCGCTGTACTTTCCTTGATTACATTTGAATTTTATGTAATTGCATTTCAAACTGTAATTCCTGCATTTCATGGTCCATTGACTGCTGTTTGATTTGTTTTTCATATCTTACATATAAACTGTCTGCCTAGTAAAGGCCAACCACATTGCATCAGATGAAGTGGGATCTAATCCCCAAAGTTTGTGCTAGAATGCAAATTTACCTATCTCTAAAGGTGCTACAGAGAAAATATAAGAACATAAGAGAAACCAATGTTGGATCAGCCTATCCAATCCAACGCTCTGTCACACAGTGGCCAAAAATACCAGGTGCCATCAGGCGGTCCACCAGTGGGGCCAGGACACTAGAAGCCCTCCCATTGTTGCCCCCCAAGCACCAAGAATACAGAGCATCACTTGCCCCAGACCAAGAGTTCTTCTCTATACCTTGTGGCTAATAGCCACTGATGGATCTCTGCTCCATATGTTTATCCAATTCCCTCTTGAAGCCATCCATGCTTGTAGCTGCCACCTCCTGTGGCAGTGAATTCCATGTGTTAATCACTCTTTGGGTGAAGAAGTACTTCCTTTTATCTGTTATAAGAACATAAGAGGGAAGGTGGCATGGTATAGTCTGATCTTGACAGATCTCAGAAGCAAAGCAGGGTTGGTAACTGGAAAGGAGACCGCCAAGGAAGACTCTGCAGGGTTAGGCAATGGCACCTCTGCTTCTCACTTGCCTTGAGAGCCCCTTGCTGGGGTTACCACAAGCCGGCTGCAACTAGAAGGCACCTTACACGCACAAAGGTGCTACAAGCCTCATTTCTCTTCAGATATCTCTGCTGAGACAACCTACTACAGATATTTATCCATGTATTGTAACTCCCATGGTGACAGTCATAACTTCAAAGAGCTTTATTCTCCATCATGGATCCAACAAAGGTATGGGGGGGACTTGAGATGTGTCTGCCTCTCACTAGTAAGTATATATAAACTTTCTCATGATACAGTCTCCATTAGAAGAGCAACTATTCCAAACATTAGGTCATTGGAAGAAATATTCAGAATCCCTTCTTGTCGGATAGATGCTGCCATCCTCATGGTGCCTTCAGGAGCTGTCTGATTGTCTCAGGCACAAAAGTCCTGCCTGACCTAATAGGTCCAATGACCCATGGCATTCTTGCACTTCTTTAGTTGCTATGAGGTCACAGCTGTGGATGTTCATTCAGATATTAATCAACACCTTAACTGGAACACCTTCATTCAGTAATATATTTAATCAAAACTGGGGGGGGAAATAATGGCAGTATGATTCAGAAATCTTTATATGTCTGCCAGCATCTGTCTAATTTAAAGTTTGCAAAGAAGGGGTGTGTGAAAGTGACTCAGCAGATATGTAACTGACACAAAGATATCATTGGCTAGCAAAATTACACAGATCCTCTCACTAAAGGATATTAGACTAATAGGTCTGTCTGTCCAAAATGTTTTCCCCAATATCATAATGGGAACACTGGCTTGGAAAGGGTTTTGAGTCTAGTTAAACAATGTCTGTGTTTACTTGAGTATTTCAGTTTTGCCTTCATTCCATGAGGGAGATAGAAATAAACAAGGTCTTCAATTTAAGAGAGGGGTTTATATTAATTGTAATTGCAAATCACTTGACAGATTGCAGTCTTTATAGCATTGGCAACCAGCCTCGCCCACTGTACACAATTACACAGTGCTGAAGAGAAATGACAATACATTTTCTCCACGAGAACTTCCAAAGACAATGTCTAGCACCCAGTTCACCAATACCATGTAAAAATAGTGAACTAAGAAAAAAGCAAAAGTATCATGTGTTTTGAGAAAAGTATTCACATCTGATCATTGCTTTTGATACATAAGATTCCCTGCATCCAACTTTTCCCAATGGTTCACGTCCTAGAGTATTGGTATGTGTCTCAATGTTTTCAGCTCTGCCTGACCTGCCAACTAGTTCTGATTTTGTTTAGTGATGTCCGGATTTGTGCAATGATCCTAAAAACATTTAAGCACTTCACTACAGCTCCTTAACAATTAATCAGTCTATAAGCAGGTGCACACTTAATGCAAACTCTCTTTTTGTTCCCATGTTTGCAATGACAGTGGAAATACCCAGTGCAGGAAAGACATCCTGCCATAACAGGGAGCCTTACCCTCCTTCCTTTCTCTTTCTCTGTCTTTCATATCTTTGTCCCGTTTCTCCCTGTTTTTGGCTGGGCACTTCTCCACGCAGATCACAGAGAGCTCAGCATTGTATACAAAGAGATTTGCCGGGTCTCCACATCTTGTTAGAGTTGCATAAACTGCATCATTAGGGCAGAACAAGCAGTGTTCATCTGAGCTGCCTGCTGGCCCAGAAGATGTTCTCAAAAGCAGTGAGAGTCCAAGTCTGGCAGCCAGACCCTGCCGTTCTCTCATTAGGACCGGCCTACCTAGGGAGGCCATTTGCTCAGAAGCTGTGGACAAACTCCTGCCTCCTAGCTCCAAGCCCTGATGGAGCTGTTCACGCCAGTGAGAGCAAAAATTGTGACTGGGGGAGCAACATTGTGATGTTGTACTTCTGGTACACCCAGAATTGATGTTGTAACATCATACAAGGTTGCTCAACCTCCCCATTTTTGCTCCTGTTGGAGTGAACACATTACCCGGCAGCCCTAAGTCTACCACCTCAAGGATCACGCTAGACCTCTTGCCAACTAGCTGGAAGTATGTATGTGTACATTTTAAGAGTATATTTAGGGCTGAGGCAAGCACCCCCCCTTATGCCCCCACAAGCACCCTCTTCGTGTGTGTGTTGCAATCAATAACAGAGAGAGGCTTCAGTACCCCAGTGGTCACTTCCCATAAAAGAACCCTCATAGTTAGGCAATACGAATTGCACGTAATGTGTAGGTCAAACTTTTGGGAAAGAAGGAAAAACCAAGACACAGAACAAATGGCGGGATTTGGGTGGTGGTTCTGCCAGCTGCATCCCCACCTAATCCCAAACACTGCATAGTTATCATGTTCCTGCTAAACATGAAGCCTTCCTAATGACATTTTATTTACTATGTATATATTATCTGGGCCCACTCTGCCATGCTACCTGTTTTAGAGTCACCTTGCCCAGTGCCTCCCCTTGGCTATTCTGCCTATACCTTTGGTGAAAAGGATAACATCTGGGAATTTCACTCTCATTGGGTAGAGAGAAAAAATTAACAGGCCATAATGTGCTTCCCACTGAAACAAAAAAAAACCCAACTAATTGAAACAAAAGAAATTAAAGGGGAATCCACATTAAGTGCTTTTAAAATGAAAATTGGGGGGGAGGAGTCTTGCAATCTGAGGCAAGGTTCCAGTGTAGTCCCTGCTGAAATGTGTAGAGACCTGATGAATTTCATAAAAATGGGTCTTGAAGAAATTAAAGGGGAATCCACATTAAGTGCTTTTAAAATGAAAATTGGGGGGGAGGAGTCTTGCAATCTGAGGCAAGGTTCCAGTGTAGTCCCTGCTGAAATGTGTAGAGACCTGATGAATTTCATAAAAATGGGTCTTGAATCACTAAAGAAGAATATCCAGTCACAATTAAGGTCCCAATTTAACATGAGATAGTCATACCTTTAACTCATTTGCTCCAGTCACAGGCAAGTGCAAAAATATAGATAACACATCTATCTAATTTTTGCCCCTATTTTCTTCAAGGAGCCCAGTGCAGCATACAGAGTTCTCCCTTCCTGTATTTTATCCTCCCAATGACCCTGTGAAGAAGGTTAGACTGAGATAAAATGAGTTGGATTCTGAGCATCTGCTCCACCACTCTTATTGCCTCCCAAGGTTACTTGACATATTATGAGAAACTCTTCTGCCAACAAAAGAACCTTTTGCATTGGGAAAGGCCTCCTAGGTTGGAGGAAGGTAGTGCCACCACTGACAAGTCCAAGGCTGCGGTCACACACAATAAATAATCCACTTTCCATCCACTTTCAATGCACATTCCAACTGGATTTTTACTGTGTGAACTGGCAAAATCCAATTCGAAAGTGCATTGAAAGTGGATTATTTAGTGTGTGCGACAGCAGCTCAAGATCATCAAAATGAGCTTTCAATTTGGGTGAGTGAGGATTTGAATCCAGGTTATCTCACTTGAAGCCCAACATTTTAACCACAACACTACACTATTTCTCTGAATACGGAACTTACATACAGTAGAAATAAGTCTAGGTGAAATAACATGACTTACACAATGAATTATATGTTTTATAATCCCACAGATACTTAAAGGGAAGAAATTACCGGTGAATTGACAAGAGGGCATAAATTATCTCAGCCCCACTTCTCAAATCAAGTAATCATAGAGACAAGTTTTTTTCCTTCCATACAACCCTAAGCTTACTGAATTCCACCAAAGCCTTTGACTGCAGTCACTAATTAACAGAAACTTTCCCTCCCTAAAATTATAATCAGAAAAGAAATATTTCATTACAAAAATGACTACAGATCTCCATTTTACCATCATAAATTAAACCAGACAACTTGACAAATGACTTAATTGGACCACTACAATTAAGATTAGGAAAACCTTTCATGGAAAAGCTTTATTGAATGCATGCTAGGATTTGAATCCAGGTTATCTCACTTGAAGCCCAACATTTTAACCACAACGCTACACTATTTCTCTGAATAGATCTCAGCAAAACAACTCTCACTTTGTTCTGACAGATTCTGCACTTTACAAGTGTTCTGTCTAAGTTGAGTTAGTGTGAGCTAGCTCACAGTTTGTTAACCTCCGGCTCACATATTTTTGTCTTAGTTCAGGAAAGATGGTTCCAGAGCAAACTAATTTATGCCATAGCCAAATCACCCGCTCACAACTTTAATGCCAGTAGCTCATGAAGTAGAATTTTTGCTCACAAGACTCCACAGTTTAGAGGAAGTATTGCAAGTGACAGTGTTCAAAAGCAAGAGAAATGGCTAAGGAAAATCAAGAACATTTTTATAGATAGTATATAAAAGTTATTTATAGTTATTGATATTAAATTGATAGTACATAAAAGATAGATGAGAGATGAGAGAGAGAGAGGCAGGCAGGCAGGCAAGGGCAGAGACAGAGACAGAGAGATAGATAACATATTTCCACTTTTCCAGGATCAGATGTATCAGTGCACTTACTCCGGTATAAGAGATCAACTGCATGAAACCATTACGTGAATTCCGGTGGCTCATTGATGATACCCATTCACATAGTGGCCAAACTTATTATGTATGTTATTCACACTGAAAAGTGCTACTTGCGCACAACGGATATACTATTGTGGAGAGAATCAGCATGTGGAAAAAGCTTCAGACACCTGGACTATTGTGTGATAGTAATGTTCACTGCATGAGAAATACATTCTCCAACACATTCATCGCTAACCAAGGCAAATGATTACAGTAATTTAAAAAGCCATTATAAGCCACTCTCCATAGCAATAAACCCAGATGTTAGATGGAGAAATGCACTATAGAAAACAGCACACATTAAATTCTGTGAGAAGGGGCTAATGCATTCTGTGGGAGAAAAGTATACATTTTACTATTTCTATGGCCTCTTAATCTCTTTTAAATTGCAGAGTTATAAATTTAAAACATTTCTCCCATGCCATTATTATATAGTATCACCAAATCCAAACTCCAAGTTAGAACAGCTTGTACTTACCAGGCGTGAAATTGTATCGTGCAGAAAATCCCAGAGATTCAAGTTCACCATCAGCAAAAAATTTAATCCACAGGAATCTGCCACTGGATTTTATTTTCGGTGGATTTTGTTCTCCACAGAAACGACCAATGATGGGGGAAAAGCCAAAAGGTCCATCCCGCACTTCGATATGATCAAATTTACACTCCCAAGAAGGCTCTATAGAATATTTTTCATCGAAATGTAATTCAATACATTGTCTTGGGGCAGCTGGAGATTAAAATAAAACCATTAGTCACTTTTCAGCTCTAAATTTATTTTCTTTCAAATGCAGCGTTCATTTCCCAATTATCCTACACAGCATTTTGGATTTTCCAGAAGTGGTTAAATTTGCACTTCACATTATTTCATTTCCTATCTGTTGTTTTTTCCTAGGAAAAAATATTTCCACTCTCTAAAATCCAATATCTTGTTTTGGGACAAGTAGTCGTCACCACTGACCATCTCTAGAGCTGGTCTATAGCCAGAATGCAATGAACAGCTCATGTAGCCAAATCCATGGGCATGCTAAATACTTTCCTGTGGGTACCGGTTTATATAACTAGGGATGGACATAAAGCAGCCCATGAACTAAAGTTTGTCATGAATTATGGCTGGTTTGTGTTTCACAAAGTGATGTTCATGGAAGGGTGCCCAGCATGAAAATTTCACAAACTTTGGTGATGTTTGTGGTGGTTCATAGTGGTTTGTGAATCATTACATTTTTCCAGACAGACTGTCTCTGTTCAATTAAACCTTTTACAAAACTCCAAGGCAACAAGGGTGGGATTCTCCAGCCTTGGAAACACCAATAGGAGCCCTCCAAAGCTTAACAGGCACTGCTGGCTGCCAATAACATGGTTCCTATTCTGCTCTATGAGATCAGAAAGCTATATATACACTCTCAGTCCTGCATCCTGTTTTCTTTTGGCAGTTCACAGTTATAGAGAGAGGTAGGAAACTTCTTCAAAGCAAACTAACAGAGCACATTCCCTTGTGATTAGAAACTCTTCTCCCCTGCTGGAGTTTTGGTGTTAGGTGGACTCAGGGCACTGGGCCACAGTGTCACTCTGCTCATCCCAAGCAGAAGGCCTGCTGAGGTTTGGGGGTCTTTGGTGGAGTCAGGGTTCTGAGCCACCCATCTCTTTCCTCATGCCAAGCAGAAGGCCTTAGCCAATGGGTTCCTTGGTTGAGGACCCACATTTTATATCCTTCCAACCCTTCTGATTGTGAGACAACTCCTCTGTGTCATGAGGAAGAAAGTGGGTGCACAGGGTGCTTGTCATGGAGGGAAGACATCCTCCCCCCCCCAGACACACACATATCAAAGGACTACTGTCTCTAGCTTGTACAGGATCCATTCTATATGCTCCTGAACCTGGCATTTCCCCAGAAAGTACTTTCCTAGGGGTACCTTATTTGGGGAATTGTAACTTGACCCCCATAAATATAATATTCACCAAACTTGGAAGGCCAGTAGAGGAGAGTCAGTAGGAGATCCCCTGCAAGTTTGGTGCCTCTACAACACCGAGGAGGCATTCTACCCCATCACAAACCAAACCAGTTTGTCTAGCATCAAAAAGTTTGCGATGGTCCATGGTTCATGAATCATTCACACCACAAACTGAAATGCATTTTCCCACTTCGTGCCCATCCCTATTTATAACTGGCTCATCTGCAGGGTTTCCTGACTATGGGTAGTGACTTTTGAGGAAACAGCATGGTGGTGGTTGCTGCTATATAGAAAGTGGTTGTCAGAATCCCTGGCTTGTGCTTCACATGATGCTCGTGGGCATCATGGAGCCTTCCAACATCTTTCCTGGCAACTGCAAAGTGTTTTAGAAAGTGAGTGGGGCCAGATGGGTCTTTTGCCCTTCAGGGCTTCTGATTGGCCATTGGGGATATAATTGGGTGTACGGATCTTTTTGTTATTTTCTTTCATTCATTCAAAAAGAAAAGGGGGAAGAACAACAAGGGGAAATATTCAAAATCCAGCAACTAAAAGAAAAGAGCAACAAGGGAAAATATTCAAAATCCAGCAACTACATAGAAATTAGAAAAAGGAAGTATACATAGAGACAAAAATATAACAACCATGGCATAAGTTTCTATAAAAGGTTTCCAAATATTTAAAAATAAGTCCTTACACAATTGTCATCTATATGCCATGCATTCAAATATTGATAGAGTTCTAAGGTCCTCAATCCATTGATTTACTGGAGGTGGGTGGGCATTTATCTCTCCAATGCTGTAATATGAGTCTTTTAGCAGTAGTAAGGGCATGAAGGTTAGCCTCCAAGAGATGGACAGATAGATTAAAATTGGCTGTGCAGATGTAAAAAAGCATTACTTTGGCAGCAGCCGCCACCACTACACAAACATCTTCACTGCATGACTGAAAGCAAACTGTGTGTCTGTAAAAAAATATCTTTAAACAATATTTTTATTTTAAAAGGCATCCTGCTAAGTAGAGCTTCTGCCTGACTTGCTGAAGAGTTACTCTTAGAGTTATGCACGCCCTCCCTCCTAGACATTTGGTGGTTGACTCTGCCTTGTGGGGCAGCCATTGTTTAGTTATGCCCAACCCCTTGCATCAGAATTCCAAAGGTGCCCACAGGATCAAAAAGGTTGGGCACCCCGGGGTTATAAAAGGATTCTATAAAGTAATAGTACATTGCATAAAATGGCTTAATCGTTTCAACTTCTGTTCTGATTTCGTGATTGTTACAGGATTATGGTTTCAATCAGTGAGTGAGAGAGAGAGAGACATAGACAGAGAAAGAGAAAGAGAGACAGAGGATGTATCCCAAAGTCCCAGATGAGCCCAGCTTAAGAATTCAAATGACTGATGTATTAATGAATTAAGAGCTGGCTCAGCTCTCTGTTTTGTCTCTACTCTGTTGTGAGCTTGATGCACAGTCTGCCTTTAACAAAATAAAGCACCACGTGAACATTTACGCATTTGTCTTTTCATTTGTTGGTTTATGAATGTCAAAAGGAAACATTTTTTTTCAAAGTACAAAGTACTTTTCCAGAGACTGGGTGGATTGAGAACCAGGGCCACGGGCACCAGCCACTCTGCACCAGCCACAATTACTTTTGTGGCAACTGTGCAGATTTCCCCCACCCAGTGGTGCACTGGTAAATACTAAACAACCAGCTCTCGGGGAATGGGAGAGTATGCATTTATATATGCACATAACTTTATTATACATTTTACTGATATAAAGGATGTGTAGCACACAATTTACAAAAAAATAATAAAATATACAATATTCTTTATTGTAAATTCTATATAGCCAGTTGATGCTCACAGAATGCTTCCGTTGACTTTTGTCGAACTCTTGTATCTGTAGCCAACCTATGCTTCCAATTCACCCATGATTTGACAAATGGCATTGTATCCCAATCTGCTAAGTCTTCTCCCAATACATTTATTGTCATTAAACCTAATATGTGATCTACTGTTGAACTATTTCACAATTTCGTCCAAATTATATTCATTAAATTGAAATCTCTTTCCGCTTCAGCACTACTGACTGCTACAGGGAGGCATTCTAGAGCTCCTGACAAGTTTTCATCTAGCTCTCAAAATTCCTGAAAATTTAAAAATCAGCTCTCATGAGCTGCCACTAGCCAGTTCCAGCCCACCACTGCCCCCAGCCATCCAACAACAAACTGAACCTGAAAAGGAATTGTACATGATTAGGCCATTTCTGGCCTGGCCAGTTCTCTCTATACATAGGAAGTTTGTCAGTTATCTAATTCTTCCCTGAAGTATAGAATCAATAGCTGAACTATGCATCACAAGAAACTCAAATGTTTACAAACCCCAGTGGATAATAATGAAGTATATAGCACATGTATTGGTAACACTGCCACAGAACAAATTCTGCACATTAAATAAAAATTGTACTTTAACCACTGTAGTTGTTCAAACTTCAATTACTTTACCTACTATAGTAACAGTGCAGTCCTATGCAGAATTATTTTTAAAAAGTGGGTTTAGATTGGAGTAATTATGCATAAGACTGTACAGTTGATCTCTTATAGACTACATTTCACCATGTTGGAATGTTTAAACTATTTATTTATATTATTTACAAAATTTATATCCTTTATGCCCTTACATTTATGAATCCATTAAACTATGATCCATTCACTTCATAGTCCTTCTTTTGGATTTACAAAATAGATTGAGCTGCAGTACAGCATTATGTGCTGCTTCAAAGGATTATTTAAGAGCTTTCTATGCTGTTAGCCAAGGAATGGGGTCACATGACAAATTAAAAGCAAGAAACAGCTAGAATTAAATCCCCTTTTAAAGAAAACTTTGTCTGTTCATTGCCCAAATCCATAATAAAATATATATTGCCAGGGAGGGAAATGTCCAGTCCAACAAAAACGATGAAGTCAAATTTTATTTCTCTTTCAAGGACTTTTCTGAGCTAAATATTATTTTATTTCTAGTGTGTGAGACTCAGCACTTGGTAGTAAATTAAAAGTGTCCACATTTATTGGGAGATGTAAACAGATATAGAATGCAAAGTTTGTTTTGATTTGCTCATGTTTCCACTGTAGATCCAAATTAAATATACTTCTTTAAAGCATTACTGTAAAATGCCTAGAATTTCTTTCTCATTATATATAATCTCCTTATCTACAACACACTGTTTATTAAACTGACTAATACAAGGGAAATCAGGATGAAAAGGCATGAAAACCAAATCCTTTCAGTAGGAGCAGTTCAAATACGTAACTGAAATTGTGGTGTGTTTCTCTGGGGGAGAAAGAGAGGAGAGAGAGACAGAGAGAGAGAGAGAGAGAGAAGGAGCCCAGCTGTCAGTGAAATATGGAACAGTGTGTCCATCTTGGCATGGAAAATTGCTTGGAAGGCCATCTGCAATGTGTGAGGGACATGGTGAGCCCTTCTTATAGACCTGAGTTTAACTGGGCTTCAGTGTTGAAGTCCAGCCATTGTTCAAACTGAGTGCAAAATTGTGATTCCATTGGACCAAGGTTGTAAAACTGGGATGCTCATGGGTGGGTTCAGGTTGGTGCAAGTGAGGGTCTGAGGCCTTATTGATGCTGTGGTCAGGAACCAGGCTGTGCATGCCTAACTGCACTGATCTATGAGGGAAAGGGCACCTGAATATTTATGAAATGACCACTCAGGGTGGATATTAAGTTTTAGCTTAATAGCTTGGTGAGACCCAAGAAATGGGCGAATG